ATCTGCTTTCAACATTCTTTTAAGTCATCTTCAGGCCTTGTACATCGACCAAGCAGATGGGTAATAAGCCCCAGTGTCTGTCTTAAAGAAACAAGTACAGGTAGTCCCCTATCTGGGATGCAGAGTACTGACTGGAAACTGACTTAGGATTCCTCTACAGTGTCTGTTTACCCTCCCCACCCTCTTCCAAGAAGACCAGTGCAAAACATCCATTCTCCACAGGCTGACTGGTAGAACTCATGTGTCAAATATTAGCAACAGGTAGGATCAGAACAGTCTTACAGGGTCAAAGTGATTAACCCTTGTCAACCTGAAGCTCTGCTAGTTCTCTGTGTGAAAATGTTTTCTTTGATAGCCATTTATTTGATAAATACTTGTTGGGCATGTATTATGCATGAAGTCTGGTGTTTGGTACTAGGAATGAAGTCTTTGTGGGCCTTATATAATGTATTAGCACAGAAAACAAACAACAAGTGATAATAAAGTATGGCAAAGATTCATGTGGAGCATGTCAAATGCTGCAGGAAGTGTGGGGAAGGCAGGGGACCTGAACAGAGCTTTTCCTGGAGAAGTGACATAGCAGGGACCTGAGAAATGAGTCAAAGAGAAAGTTGAAGAGAGAGACTATTGAGTGCTGCAGGCAGAGGAGACAGCACAGACAGTCCCAGGAGGTGAGAGAGAATAGTATTTTGGAAACTCTGGAAAGTGCCCAGGATGGCTGGTGTAGAGAGAATAGAAGCGTGGCAAAAGATGAAGTGGGCGGACCTTGAGAGCACTGTCTGAAAAGCTAAGGAATTTGGACCTTAGCCTGAGGACAATTTGAGACAATCTGATGGAAAACAATATCTTTCAAAACATAGGGTCCCTGGGAACACATCAACCCTATGTGCTAGACAAGCCAGTAATGAAAAGACTGGAAGGTGTTATTCTCATGTTCAGCTCCCTGTTCTTCATGGCAGCAGTCAGATCTCTTGGATGTCCCTGAAGTCCTTAAGGACACACTCCCCAGCTCCCCACCCCAGCGGGTTGTGTAGTCAGGGCTGCGATGTTTTGTGCAGCACTGGCTCTGCTTCAATCCTTGGAACTGAGGAAGCACAGAAACCATCACTGTCCAAGACCCTTGGTTTACAGATAAGCCAACTGAGACTCATGGGGGAGAACTTGTACGATGGTCCATTGGCAGTCCTGCAGTGGCATCCCAGACTTCTGGCTTGAGGGCTTGTCATCCCTGAAGATGAGACAAGTGAGACAGGCTGCACAAGTTAAGAGATGGTCAGCCCCGGTGCCAGCACTGCACTTGTTTGGCCCTCGCAGTGGGTTCTGATGGCCACATCTTGGACAGCAAGGACTGTGGTGACTAGAGAACCCTAACATCTCTTAGGGTGTTAACCTGCTGTTAGGCACAAATTTTGAGGATCACTCAGATGTGTACTATCGCTGATAAACAATGGATTTCTGACAAACTGAAACGTATTGAGATAGCTGTATCTTTGGGTAAACACGAACTTCCAAAGGCAATAAAATAACATGGAGAGGGCCTGGAGCGGTGGCCTAGTGGCTAAATCCTCACCCTTGCACATGCTGGGATCCCATATATGCACAGATTCGTGTCCCAGTTGAATTAGCATCGCTGTCTCTATGCTTCAGAGAAGTGAGGTGCTTGAATATGTGATTTATTATTATTATTTTGAGCACAGACACTGCCCAGATGCTTCTGTGCTTTCATTCATTTACAGTCTCCCTAGCCTCATCCTGGTGCTCACACTGCCAAGACCAAAGCCATGCTTGGCTGCCTCAGAATCACCTTGGGGCTGCGTCTGTCTACAGATTCGAATGCAGTGACCCCTAAGGGGCGCCTGGGAATCTGTGTGACTCACTAGGCAGCTGTGCAATATCTTTGATATAATTCAAACAGCCTAATCATTTGTTGTCTCTACAAGATGAGAGAGATGTGTCTTTTTACATATCCGGGAGGTATTAAACTAGAAATATCAAAATCTAAAAATTTGGAACTTTGAGCTTTTGAATGTCTATTAAGGATACCAGGAAAGGTTAAAATATCTGGTTGAAGCAGGATTTCTTAACATCAGGACACAATATAGGTTAGGTTTAATCATTGACATAGAGTGACTGTTTAAATACTTTAAAACGAGTGTTAAGCAAATCATAACCTTTAAAACACAGTTGTTTTAAAATACTGGAAACTTAATGAGAGAGAACACAAAGATTACTTCAATAGAATGCAAAATCTGTTTTTTTTTAAATCTGTTTTTTGGTCTGTTACAAAAATGGAAATAAAACCTTGGAAATAAGAGTTAATATGTGGAAATATCCCATAACTTGGAAAAACGTAGCAGAGAAAACTGGAGTTACTTGGAACTGGCTAGAAAATTGAGTTTTCAATTAGTCAAAAACTATTTAAAAGAAGATGATACAGGTTTTGTTTTTTTTTAAGATTTACTTTATTTTTATTGCAAAGTCAAGTATACAGAGAGGAGGAGAGACAGAGAGGAAGATTTTCCATTCGATGATTCACTCCCCAAGTGACTGCAATGGCCAGTGCTGTGCCGATCCAAAGCCAGGAGGCAGGAACTTCCTCCAGGTCTCCCACATGGGTGCAGGGTCCCAAGGCTTCGGGCCATCCTCACCTGCCCTCCCAGGCCACAAGCAGGGAGCTGGATGGGAAGTGGAGCAGCCGGGACTAGAACCGGAGCTCATATTGGATCCCGGCACATGCAAGGTGAGGACCCCAGTTGCCAGGCCAGCACGCTGGGCCCGGCTACATTTTTCTAAACAATGCTGGCAAGAAAGGGGTCATAGCCTTTGGCCAATGGCCAATCAATCTCCAATTAGATGGCCATTATAATTCACAAAAATTGTGTAGCATTTTGGGAGTGCACTTGACACTATAGTCTCCATTAAATCCTTTCTTGACATTTTTAACACACAGTAAAGGGGAGTACAGGGTGGAGACTCAATCCCTCTCGTATTGAAACTCCGTTTTGAGGACTGGAAGCAGAATAATGCAGACACCGCAATGACAAAAGAAGTAACAAATAATAGAGACTAAACCAGTAGGTTTGGAAAAGAGACTTTTCCAAAATCAAATGTGGACCCACTTCACAGTGAGGGAGTTGGGGAGTGGGTCCGAAGACCCTCCTTTAAGCAAACCTGTGTCCCTTGTCCTAATGCCTTTGTGCTTAGGGTGAGAGGACTGTGTTGGTGCCTCATCAATCCTCCAAACTCGCAGTGATTTGTCAATCGGAAAACCAGAAAGCTGACTTGCTAGAGGACCTTTAGCCAGATGATTGGTAAAGAAGTCAACTTGGGACTCCCTGGTGGGTGATCCAAACACAGCACCCTGGAAGGTCTCAAGGTGTTCCCTACCTCTATAGCTGGAGCGTCAATCCAGAGGAGACCAGTGTGTGGGATCTTTTCGAGGCTGGATTCCTGATCTCACTGGGACCTCCAAATGTTGTACCTTAGTGCGCTGATATGAAGGAGCACCATGTGCTTTATAATAAAGATTTGAAATTCCTTGAGGCCAGCACAATAGCTCAACTGGTTAATCCTGAGTATGCAAGTGCTGGCATTCCATAAGGGCACTGTTTCAATGTCCCGGCTGCTCCACTTCCCATTTAGCTCCCTAGGAAAAGCAGTGGAGGATGGTCCAAAGTGTTGGGACCCTGCACCAGCGTGGGAGATCTGGAGGAAGTTTCTGGCTCCTGGCTCTGATTTGTCTCAGCTCAGCCATTATGGCCATTTAGGGAGTAAATCAGCAGATCTCTCTCTCTCCTTTCCATACGTCTTCCTTTCCAATAAAAATAAATAGAATCTCCATTAAATAAAATAAGAAAGATGAAACATTCTTTATCAGTGGAGAGTGGGCTCATGTCCCAAAGATCTCTTGGTCCCAAATTTCAGAGTAATAGGGTTTATAAAGGCAAAATCCACAAACCTGAAGGGGTTGAGGGGTGGGGATAGGAGACTAAGCTAATGCGGAACTACCTTAGGGATGAGAAATCCTAATTTTGCAAACTTTTGCAGAACCAGGTGAAACTCATATTTCTCCTAGTCGTGCTTGAACAGCTTAGCCAGAGGCTCAAGGATTCTTGTAAAGCAAGAATCTGGGTTGGGGTGTGTGTGTTGGGGGGGTACCTTTCCTAAGATGGAGCCCATTTCAACGTGGAGTTCCTCATGTCAGGCCTATTGGTTCACTCCAGACAAAGCAACAGACTCCGTGTTTGATTAGTTCAGCAAACCTTAAAGGTTTGTTGTGTGTGCTGGCCCCATGTCAGGTGGTGACCCTGGCTCCTACCCCCGGGACGCTCAAGGTGAGGTTTTCTCTTCATTTTAGAAGAATGTCAGAGCCAGAACAGGAACGACCTTAGAGCTCATGAACTCATCCCATCATTACACAGAAGGGGAAACTGAGGCTGGGAGAAGGAGGAAAAGTGATATGTTCAAACTCTGCATGTTCTGTTGTCTTTTGAGGTTTATATTTGCCCAAAGATACAAGTATCTGACTGCATATCAGTTTAAGTGTCTAAGTTCAGATGTCACTGACATTTTCCACCCTAACATCAAAGCAAGGATAGCCTCGGGGGTGTTTCTAAACACTCGCGCACAGAGAGCCTGGCTCTGTAGACCCCTTGTCCTGGCTGTGCTAGATCCGCAGCATCCGCCTCTTCCTGGCCTTTGGAGCCCAAAGAGGAGGGGGCCTCTTCCCACCGCGTCCCCACGCTCTTCACTCCCATCTCTCTTCCCGGACTTGCTTATGTCACCGTCGCCCCGGGGCCGGGCAGGGGGAGCGCTGAGGGCGGGCACAACTTGTCCTGGAGCTCTAGCCGCCCTGCGATTGGCTCCAAGGACCCCTGTCTGGTTAGGGATTGGTTCCGCCGTGCGCTTGAAAGGTGGCTTGGAGAGTCGGACACCTCAGACGGAGGGTAGCCAGGGATCTGCCGCGTCGAGGCGAGCCTGCGACTCACACCCAGTCCGCCATGGCCCGGCTGCTCCGGGCATCCTGCCTTCTGTCCCTGCTCCTGGCTGGCTTCATCCCTCCCAGCCGGGGACAAGACAAGTCTAAGGTGAGCCTCGTGGGGCGGGGACAGAGGAAGGAACCCTTCTGGTCGGGCTCACAGGTGGAGGGCTGCCTGTGACGCCGTTTGCCACCCACTCTGCCCGAACCCCACCCCATGACCATCGGTCCCTTTCCTGTGTCGGGGTTTACAGGTACGCAGAATGGTTAGGGGAGGAGGACTTGCCTTCCCACACTTATTCTCTTCCATGACTGCCTGGTGGGACAGGGTACGCAGGGGGCGAGGAGGAGGGGTCACGATGCTGCACTCACCTCTATACCCCATCTGCTCCCCTCTGGAGAGGGCGGAGAACTGAAAAAAGCCTGGAGACTTGGTCTCTGGGTTGACTATGCAGCTTTGCCTGGAGGCCAGCAGGTGGGAAACATACTGGTGGGCTTGGTGTTGTATTGCTCTGGGACTTTTCCTGCCCTGAAAACATAAGCGCAGGCTGCAGGACCCACTCGGAGGCCAGGATGTTTGCAGAGAGGTGGAGGTATGTCCGGAGGGAGGTTTGCACTGGCAGAGCAGCACCTGCAGGATGCCAAGTCCCTACTCCTTTCCTAACCTCGCTTTCTCCATCTGCAGGAAATGGGAGCGGGGCACCGCATCCATAGGCTCTTCTCAGAAGACTTTCCAGCTACTGGACAGTCTCACTATTCCCAGTCCCTAGTCAGTGTTGGCCTAGGAAAACCCAGTAGGTGGAGAAAGCTGGGGGTTGCCAGCTCAGGAGAGGCAAAATTCTTCGGTACTTCTGTTTCCTGTGCCCCTCTCCCCCCAGCAAGGGTGTGTGACCCTGAGTTGAAGTGGCAATGAGTGGACATGCTTTTCTCTTTAGATGGCATTGAAGGGATGCGTCCAGGTTGAGAAGACAGAAACAGTAGTGGATAGACCCGAAGAGACAGATTTCTGTCTCCAGCCTCCCACCAGTCTCTCGCACACACACACACACACACACACACACACACACACACACACACACACACACACACACTTTCCAGCATGCTTCTGTGGGCTCAAGGTTTAAGCTTGTGTGGGCTCAATCAAGGTTTAAGCTTACGTTCCGCAGTTTCTCTAGGTCTTTATTCCAGGGTCTTACAAGTCCATGATGCTGTTTCCAAGACTCCTCCACCTGCTTTCCTAAAAGCCCCTTGTTCTGTTCTACTCTGTTCACAATCAACTCAAGGTGGGTGCAGGCTGAGTTTCAAAAGTGGGGTGTGGAATAGAGGTTGGAGGTGGGCTGGGGAAGGTCAGCCCCATGGAGTTCGCCCCATGCTCTCAGCATTCAGCAAGCCAGAGAAGTGGTGATCTGGCTCTGCCTTGGGAAGGCTGAAGTAAGAATGGGCAGGGGGACCCTGTGAATAACTCACCCTAGCTACATGTTTTTTTACAGGGTGGGGAAGGATAGATGCCAAAGCAGGGCCTACTGCAGGGAGTCCTGCCTGTCTTCTGCACCCAGCTAGGGCCACACCCTGTCAACCTGGATGGCTTCCTTCACCAAGTGAGGCCCGAGTACCACGCCTTAACAGGCAGTTTTCCAGAATTAATACAAAGGGAGCACATGAAGTTGCTTCTCTAACTCCAGCACCCATCTCTGCCCTCTCTTAATCTCTAATGCTACTTTACACTCTTTTTACTTCTGGTCTTTGAACCTCTACAGCCAGAAAGGACCTTCCACATCAGTGGCTCCCAGTTCTTTCCCATCATGACCAGTCCACTTGTTGAACTGTGACCTTGATGCAATGGCAGCTTTGACAGAGCAAATTGTTCTGTAGTCTGGGTCAGGATGGAGGTGGGGGGACAATAGGGTCCTCGTAGCCATCCCCACTCCAGCAGTCAACCCACTCCCACCTTTCTCACTAATGGTCATCATGCCAAGCCAACTGAGTTAATACAGCTGACCCAGTTCAGGGTTCTCATTTTCTCAATAAGAAAACTGAGGCCCAGGAAAGAAAAAGGGCCAGTCCAACACCACAAAGAGCAAGTGACATGCCAGGATATGGGACCAGGTCTCCCAACCCACAGTGTAGCATTTTCCATTTCTCCTCGTCCTGGGATTGACTGAGGGGCAGCAGAAGGGAAGGAACAATGTCATTGTCACATCACTCATACAAAATAGCCAACATATGAGGGATCTTCCGAAAGTCCCAGGCAATGCTTACATATTATTAAAAACTATAAATGGTTTCAAAAGTTCCTGACCCCAAATAAACCTATTTTAAACTGTTTCCCCGCTTTGTGACATATCCTGTATACCAGGCACAGTTGCTTTACCCTCCCCATTCCTTGCTATCCTCACAACAGGCTCTTCTCCCTTCCCAACTCACCAACCTGTACCCCTGTTTTAAACCTTTCCAGGCAACACTCTCCATTTGACACTTCCTCCTTTCCATCCAATTCGCCTTTCACCATGGCCTGCTTCAGCCCTCACTGTCTACTTGTCACCCACGCAGGCTGCCTCAGCCCTGTCTTCCAGTGACCAAGCCTGCAGTGAGCGTCAGGGCACTGCCTTGGAGCCTGTCAATGTTCTGGAATTGACACGTGAGGTGGAGGTGATTAACAGTTGGTCATTTACAAGGTTGTGCAGCCTACTGTGGATGCCAAGTGCTAGCTAGGCGGTTATGAAGTGGGTTTACCACCATCATCTTCTGCAAGGCCTCAGAAATGTGTGACTCTAGTCCAAACACAGTGCACAGTATTGTCCAGGACCAGCCACTCTCCTCCTGGGGACCTTGTGGTAACTTGAGAGCACAGATACCCAGGTCCCCTTCTGGCTCTAACAGTCTGTGGGGCTGCACTTTCTTTCTTCCAGACAGACTGCCATGGTGGCATGAGCGGCACCATCTACGATTATGGAGCCCTCACCATCGATGGGGAGGAGTACATTCCCTTTAAGCAGTACGCTGGCAAATACGTCCTCTTTGTCAACGTGGCCACCTACTGAGGTCTGACGGGCCAATATGTGGGTAAGCACCCGCCTTCTTCCCCGGCTCTACTTGGGCTGTTTCTGAGGTACACTGTAATTATGGGGTCGACCCATGTCTTAACTCACTGTACCCCATGGCTTAGGTGTGATGATTAAATAATCATGAACTCAGACAGTCTGATATACTCTAGCAAGGCCCTGAGCACCCTGCCTTGTTCCTATGCACCTTGGTCCCCTTCAAACACTGGGATGAGGGTGACTGGGTTTGTGCTTGCAGCTTTCTGTTCCAAGACCATTTCCTTTCCCATCAGTCCCATCTGCCTTGGAGCTTCTAGAAAACAGAGCCTGAGATTTTGGAGGAGGGTTGTTGGTGGGGAAAGGGCTACATTTTTCAGGTCCATTCTGGTTACATCTTCTCCTGTTCTCAAGAGCCTGAGGGAGCATCCAGGCCAAAGGCACCTGCCAGCATTTGGGGAAGAAGCCTAGGGTGGGGAAATCTGAGCATAGTGGGTGGCAGGGACTGATGCCGCTGGCTGGCTAGCAGGAGCTAGGGGTAAGCAAGGGTGATGTGACCCTGAATGTTTGGCCTGGCGATTGCAAGCCAATTTCTAAAGTGGAGGCAGGATGGCTAGCTGGCCCCCTGGCAGTGAGTACCATGCCCAGAATGTCTAACTAATCCTTGCAACAAAGCATTGGGTATGGGAGGCTGGCTAGGTGCTAGCATAGCACACGAGGTTGGGAGCACTGAGAAAAGTGGGGAGCTATGCCAGGACCTTCTAGGAAGAAGGTAGAAGGATTGTCAAGCTTTCCACCCCTCCAAGGAAATTCTCTGCCTTTTTCCAAGGGAGGGACGGTTCTTGCTCCAGAAAAATTACTCTTAAGAGCTCTAAAGAGCACACAGCCAACAGGCCCAAGTGGGTCTCTTGGCCATGGATGGGACTTGACTCTCAGTGCTGTCCCTTCCCAGGCCTCAGTGATTTCAGCTGTACATTGGGTAAGCAGAGAGGGGTGAATGGATGAGGCAGGGCTCACCAGACCACACCATCTCTGCTCTCTCCTTGTCCCAGAACTGAATGCACTACAAGAGGAGTTTGCACCATTTGGTCTGGTCATTCTGGGCTTCCCCTGCAACCAATTTGGAAAACAGGAACCAGGGACTAACTCGGAGATCCTACCTGCTCTCAAGTGAGTGCTCCCTCAGGACCCACATTATGCCCATGCTCCTCCAACCATCACTGGCTCCCATTGCCCACTGCTAGGCAACTGCAATTCTAAACCCTCCCTTCTATTCTGTGTCCTTTCACTCCACTGCTTGGCTGTGTGCCCACCTTGCTGGGACTCATCTAGGAATGTTTCCTGTAGGTATGTCCGGCCAGGTGGGGGTTTTGTCCCCAACTTCCAGCTCTTTGAGAAAGGGGATGTGAATGGTGACAAAGAGCAGAAGGTCTACACTTTCCTGAAGGTGAGTCAGCGGTCCCTGCATTGGAGCCTCTCTGCCCACTGGACAGAGCTGTGGCTGCTCCCAGCTCCAGCCCACCCAGAAGCAATATCCATGCCAGCCACCCCCCCCCCCCCGTTCCTAGGCTTCTGCGAGAGTTTCTGGGTGTCACACTATTGTTGCAGCTCTGGTCCCTGAGAGGGCCCCAGGTGGGCCAGACAGCTGGGCCTGGCAGTCTTCTGGCTCCCAGTTGGTGCTTCTGTCTCAGTGTCAGGTTGCCTTCTTCCCACAGCCTGCAGGGGAGGTGTGTGTGTTTGTATTGGGTGGGGAGACCAGCTTGATACTGTTGTCCTTACCCTTCCCCAGAACTCCTGTCCCCCCACCTCGGAGCTCCTGGGCTCACATAGCAGCCTCTTCTGGGACCCCATGAAGAACCATGACATCCGCTGGAACTTCGAGAAGTTCCTGGTGGGGCCAGATGGTGTACCCATCATGCGCTGGCACCACCGGACCACGATCAGCAATGTCAAGTTGGACATCCTGACTTACATGAGGCGACAGGCAGCCTTGGGGGCCAGGGGGAAGTAACTGACAGCTGCCCTCCCGTCCATCCTGCCAAGACTGGGGGCTCTGTTCAGGAAGGAATCCACATTTCTAATCATACCACATACCCACCACAGCCCCATCTCCTACTAACAAGACCCCAGCCTGACATATATACACGTGACACATTTGTGTGTGTGTGTGCGCACATGTGTGTCTCCCTGGAGGGACATCCAGCCTGGAAACTACCAGCTGGGTGCTGTGTGGAGAGATGGAGATATCTCCTTCTCTCCAGCTCTTCTGTCCTTGAAGGAAAACCATTTATGTGTCCAATTCTCTTTACTGTAACCTGAACCTCGACCCTGAGGCCTTCACCTCCCAGTGCCTCCAAATACCATCCAGCAAATCAGAGTCTACCACGCGACCCAGCCCACCTCCTCCTTCCTGAAGGTGCCCCCGACCCCATTCAGCTTCCCACCCCCATCCCATAGTGCTACCCGAGAACAGCCAAGGCAGATGTGAGAGGGCAGGCCACACACCCCATGTCAGGGATGGTGTCTCCATGAGGGAGGGGTCCAAAGCCCATGTGGGCGGACCTCCCCTGAGCCTGTGTGAGGGGCCAGCCCTTAGTGCATTCAGGCTGAGCCCCCGGCAGAGACACCACTCCCTGCTCCTCAGAGGATGTGCCCTTTCCCTCCACCCTGGCCTCTGGCATCAGACTCATGCTCCGTCTCTCAGTAAAGGCCTTTCTGCAGCAGCTGAGCCTCCTGTGGTGCATCCCCCCAAGTGGTCACCCCCACTGCGGGCAGGGGCGGGAGACAGGTGTGGAATGGGGAGAAAAGGAATGAAGGTGAGCTTTGGGATCCTGATTTTGGCTTCCACCTAGGCTCACTCAGCAGCTGGGGTTTCTAAAACCAGCTCACATTGCCTCTTGTGCTCTCATAGTACTCGAATGACATGAGGTGTTCTACTTGACAGATGAGGAAACCGAGGCTTGCAGAAGGGCCAGGTCTTGCTCGTGTTCTCCTGATGAGTGAGAGCCAGGATTTGAAGCTGAGGACCTGTGACTCTGAGCTTGGGCTCTTGGATGCCATGCTCTTAGGGGTTATCAGAAAATGGGGGAAGGTGACTGGAATGGGGACAAGGGACATAGCACTCCTACTGGCTGAGAGGATTGCCAGACAGGACAGAAAAGAACACCCATCACAGAATGCTAATCTCCATCCAACCTGGATTTATGTCCAAGGTTTGTGCAAACAGCTGCCCAGGGAAGGACAGCTGCCACTCCTGACTTCTGCCACCATAGGCCTCTAGCTATGGGGCCAAGGGCCTGGCCTTTGACTGGCAGCAATGGCTCTGGCAAGGCTACTGCAGTGCAGCGGGCCCAGTGGCAGGGCAACACCGTGATGTGCGCATCTGCTCTGGCGACAAACCTACTCTCCCACAGCTCTGCACAGAGCGGCAGGCATGGATGTGGGACAAGTCCTGCTATGGCACTTGAAGCAAAAGTGAAACACGCACATGAGTTGGGCACCACTCCTGGGAAGACTTAGCAAGGAAGGGAATCCTGGCCACATCCCCTTCTTAGGACTGACGTCCCCTGCTGGCTTCAGCCAGGGATAGCAGTTAGTTGGGCATCACTTCTCTCCACTGGGGCAGGGTGCTGAGTTTCTCCTGGCGGTACCCATAGGAGCCTTGTGGGTGGAGCATCCTTGGTCTTAGGAAGAGTTTCGGGTGGACTGGGAGCACCCAATGCCTCCCATCTTGGCCTTCCACCCAGCTGAGGCTCTTGCCACACAGAACACATGGTGTGAAGTTTTCCCATAACCTGGGGTCAGCTGGCGCTGGAAGGTGGTGATGGAGCCAGATGACACAGCCTGCTCTCACTGAGGCCCCTCGCGGTCATTTTTTGTGGACCCTAAATAAACAGAAATTTTGAAGATTTAAAGGTGACATGGAACAATAAATTCAAAAGTCTTATATGGAAACTGATATAGTAATAGCAATTATAATCGCTCTGAGAATACTTCAAAGAATTTCATGAGGAATGAAGTTAAATGGTAAGTTTATTCTGGTGCAAAAAAATATCTGAAATCTGTGGATATAAAAATATCTTTAAAACTTTTGTGTAAAATGCCTATCATAACAATTATGTAAGATTTCATTTTTTAAATACCAAAATAAACTTGTCTTCTAATTCCATATTTCTATAAACTTCCCGAGTACCTACGTGGAGGTCTGGAGTGCTGCTGAGAGCCAGGTCTGGGGGTGGGGGGCAGTATGGCTGGCATGGCTGGCATTTCTGTGCCATGGCCCTCACCCAACCTTGTGAGCAGGCAGCTTTTACCCACTGTGTAGGTAGAATCTGGATGCAGCAGATTTTAAAGTGATTTGCTCAAAGTCCCAGATCTGGAAGAGGCAGAGCTGGGAGGTGAGCCCTGAGCCCAGGAATGGAGCAGTTCTAGGCAGCATGTCAGCCCTACCTACCAGGCTACTGCTGCCACTCACCCAAGCAGCCTCCAGGGCACCACAGGACCACGAGGCTCTGTAGGGACTGTTGGGAAATGAGGCAGCAGCCACCAGATCCTCCACGCCTCACCCCCTCTGAAGTGTGTGTGCTGCAGCCCTGCTCCAATGGCCTGACAGGGTTAGCTCCATTTCTGCACACCTGAGACCCCCAGGAAGACTTCTGCAGGCCAAGATGAATGTAGCCTTCCTGGGACTCCTATGATTCTGGTCCCAGAAGTTCTACAGGAGGGGCAGCAGGCTCTGCACCCCCAAGTGCTCTGCAGGGAGTAAGGCTGGTCCCTGGGCCTGGAGCCTCCTTTTGAGTGGCAGACATAGCTGCAGTGTCTTCCACTTTTCAGGGCCAGAAGGGGCTTCTCAAAACACAAGACTGGCCATGCCACTCTGCTTTAAAAATGCCGAAGAGCTCCATCCATGTTCAGCAGCCTAGGACACAGCCAGCTCTCCTCTCCTACTCTGATCTGAGGGCCCTGTACTGTCTGGATCTACATACCTTCTAACTTTGCCGTGTCCCTGTCTCTTTCCCCACCTCGCTCTCAGCTCCTGCCCGATTGGCCTTCCCTTGGCTCCTCATATTGGTCCCTACCCTCCCTCCTACCTTGCATCTGTCACTCCCCTCCTCCCCCACCTGGTGAATGCCACCCATTCTGAGGGTCTCATGTCATCATCTCGGGGGGCAGCTTTCCTAAGCACCTGGTCTGGGTCAAGTGTCCCTGCTCTCCTCTCCAGGGACCTGCCCTTCTGCTCTTTTGGCATCCCAAGCAGCTGGTACGATGCCTGGTGTGTTTTACTAGGGTAAATGAATGAATGGTTTTAGTCCCTTGGCCTACAGTTCCTGTCACTCCCCTTCCCATCACACTGTGGCAGAAAGCTGGGCCCCTCCTCCATCAAGATCCAAGTGACAACATCCTGCCCCACTTGGGGGGCCCTTCTAATACATGAGTCCCCTCTTTTGGGGCCCACGGACCATGCTCACCTTGTTCTGCCGGCCTGGCTGCAGGCGGATCCATTACTTGGGAACCGTGGTTCCGCAAGGCTCCACAGGCTGGAAACCAGGTGTATTCTGGCTGTGGTGACAAAACTGGTACTTAACAATCAATAGCCATGCTGGAAAGGCACGGCAGAACCACCGTGCCAGGGCCAAATTCAACATGGAGCAACTGACCCAGGTATGGGAAGAGAGATGTGGCTCAGGGGGGTTAGCTGACTTGTTGAAAAGTGGACAGGCTTAAACCTGAATCCAGGCTTCTGCAACTTCAGAGCCAATCTCCAGGTGCCACATTCCAGTCTAGGGTTTAAGGCATCTATGGAAAATGGTCAAAGGAGCAGAGGCTGGCCACTGCCCGGGGGGAGACCGAGGAGAGGCTGTGGCAGGACTGGAGAAGGTGACAGCAACTCTTTAGAGAAAGAATAATAAGAAGGGCAAATAAAATAAGCGAATGAGAACAGAAAGAGAGAAAAGCTGGGCCTGGTACAGTAGCCTAGTGGCTAAATCCTCACCTTGCATCAGCCCTGGGATCCCATAACAGCTGCTGGTTCGTATCCAGCTGCTCTACTTCCCATTCAGTTCCCTGCTTGTGGCCTAGGAAAGCAGTAGAGGACAGGCCAAAGCCTTGGGACCCTGCTTCCACATGGGAGACCCGGAAGAAGCTCCAGGCTCCTGGCTTCAGATTGGCTCAGCTTCAGCTGTTGGGGCCACTTGGGGAGTGAACCAGTGGGTAGAAGATCTGTCTCTCCTCCTCCTCCTCTCTGTATATCTGCCTTTCTAATTAAAATAAAATAAATCTTAAGGCAAGGAAAAAAAAAAAAAGAAGAAGAAGAGAGAGAGGAGCCAAAAGGAGAGGACTAGGTGAAGCTCTGGAGCCAGGTTACATGTGAGTGGTGTAAGAAGTCAAGGCCAAACTTGGCTAGCCCTGGCTGGGGTTCACAGGAACGCCTCCTTCCTGCCCTGCATTCTGATTCGGCCTTCTCCATCCTAACCCCTCCCCCCTGGTGACCCTGACTGCTTGGGGCTGCGTAGTCTTCACCCTCAGGATACCAGGAAAGAACCAGGCCCCAGACACCTGCCTGTGCCACTCAGGCATCTCCAAAGCCACATTTCTGCCCTGCTCATTTGACGTTCCTCCCTACAAAGTGGGTGCAATATGTGCGTGTGTCTTGGAGGGAAGGAGAACACAGACTCACCAAGTGGAAGAGACGTGAGTTTGGGAGCGGGGGCGGCTGTTCCATGGCCATGGCAGGTGGAGGGTAGCGGATCTGGGACCAGTCATCGAAGCCATGGTGTGGTACCCTGGCTGGCATTGGAGGGTAGGCGTAGGGGTAGGCCCCGCACAGGTGCTCCGGGTGGGGTTCCATGTGATAGCGCTCTCCCGAGGCCTGCAAGAAAGGCTCTCGTTTACCTCAGGCCACCCCCCAGGGACATCCACGTAACGCCCTCCACCTAGCAACTTAGCTCTCTGACAGCTGGCACACAGCCTGGAAGGGAGGCACACAAGCATGGTAGAGGCATGGCAAGGTGGGAACACACATGGAAAGTGACTGTAGGGGCTGAGAATCTCCACAATGAACATAGCGAGCACGTCCTGAGCACCAAGGCAGCGTGATGACGGCTCAGAGCCTTTACCTGTGTCCCTCAGTGAGCTGGCAGGAGCGTCAGCACCCGAGCACACACTGTCTCTCCCATCAGACTGCAGTTCCTTGAAGAAGGCAAGGCGAAGCCAATGCTGCCTCCTCCCTCAAGCTCTCACCTTTGCTTTCCTCTTCTGCTGTCTGACGACTTCTTTCGCCTTCTCCTCATCTTTGAGTGCTTTTAGCTGCAGATGGAGGAGGGATGGTGGGGAGAGAAGATTGATGCACAGTGCCTCCTGGCCAGGCCTGAATCTAGGTTCACCCTGCTCAGAGGGTGGATGGACTTATGCCAGGTTACCAGTGTGTGCTTTTGCACCTGGAGCAGTGAGTGGCAGGTGAACGCCCCACATCATGGATAGTCTGCAGCCAAGGCAGAGGGTCTGGTGAGCCTGGGCTACTCTATGCTTCCACAATCAAGTCTTTCACTTCCATTCTCGGAAT